GCTGCCGGTTTCGGAGGCCAATTTTACGTTTTTTTGGGGGGAAATGAAGCGAACTTGCTACAATTACTTTTTTTGCCTCCGGCGCGGCCACCTCTCCACTTTGGGGGGGCGCGCTCGAGCTCGAACAGCGACCTTCTCCGCCTTCGAGCGTGAGCTCACTGTTGTGCTCGCCGGCTTGCTGCACTCGCCATTACTGCTCGCTTCGCTTGCGAATATCAATGTCGCTATCGAATCAATTATCATTTAATCGATACCCAACACCCACTGCTGCGAAACACTATTAGACCCACCTTGAGTTTGACAAATTTCGAAGTGACCGAATGGGCACCCAGCGACCAAGCGCAAGATGTTATACAAGACCAGATGGGTAGTGCTGAGCAAGAATAAAACCTCTACTACTATCTACGTATGTCAGCACAGTAGTTGTCGACCAAACGAGGAGCGGTTGTGACTTGTCAGATTCATACATGTACATACATACAATGTCACTCACGCTGTCTACCTCCAAACACCTTCTCTCAAATTAGACACAACTTTCCACCATTCAAAGTCCAAAACAAGGAAGACGACGAAAGATTAAAAGAGTTCACCTTGTTGATTCGGAAAACTTTACGGCAAGAGTAAAATGGGCACACATCACACACACAATATACGCATCGTTCAAGAATTGTTTCAAAGACGCGCCCTATTCATCTGGATGAGTGCCTCTATACGCGGGCTCACTTTTGACCTCTCTTCGGAGATTGCGCGGTGAGATGTGCGGACTCGTGACCTCTTCGGAGAATACCGAACAAGATGACGCAACAACAATGCTGTCTGGTAGTTTCGAATGTTCTCCTTGCGTTTTAGGAGCAGGACCACTGTCCAACCTCTACGCCCTCCCTGTCTGTAGAAGAACCCTTCGATTCTGAGGAGTGTTCAAGTTAGGCATCCTCCTGAACAGGCAATGGGAACGACACAAACACGCACACACATGCATCGATTGCTACAACCTCGCCCGCCCCCTCGGAGACGGTAGTTTATAATCGTGCTCGAATAGTTCGATTCCGCAGACAATATAGAGCCTCGGCAACGCAAAGAGTGTGAGGATACTAGATGTTATTTGGCCGGTGTCAAAGTCCCGCGAGGACTGAGAATTGGTCTTGAAGGTCTTGGATACACTTTCCAGATATTCTCCCGTTCTGTGGTGGAAGATCCCACAAAATAAAACCATCGCCAACAAATCGCTTGCCGCGCTTCTTGACCATGTGCCCGCCAGCTCCCTTCTCACCAACGTGGTGAGCACCCCTCGGGTGTCCGCCTTTCGGGCGAAGCTCGTCACGACTTCCGCATGGAACTTTGTACACACTGAGTTTTGATTGCAGTTCCGGGATACTCGAAAAAGTCCAGGGCTATTTTTCTATAGCGGCGTTCCTCCGTGGGCCACGTGCGAGTACACCTTGGAGATGTCGCGGTTGGCACGGAATGTGCGATGATTTCTGCGAAACTCCATGAACGTTCGTAAGAGGTAACACTAGCTTCCACGAAGAAGGTTCGACCACGCTGAGTGAAACGTGAGCAGCATCCATGGGGCATCACGGAGCATTCCGCCCGAAAAGACAGTGCGCAGAACCTCGTCATCTTGATCTACCCGTGGGGTACAGGTTTTTATGCTCTAGTACATGGGCTGCGCAAAAGACTATTGAAACCCAGAGTGCCGCTACTCAGAGGGAAACCGCGTTCACCCCCTGTATATGTATATTGAAAACGAATGGACTGCGGGTACCGAACCAACACCAACCCCATAAGCCCATCGTCCCCCTGGTGTTGATCGTCCTCACTGCCTTGCCTTCCTTGCGCTGTGCATGCTACTCGTGCTCGAATCATTGACGCTTTTCGTGTTTGGTGGGTCAAGCCGACGCCCCCCAAAACCAGCCCCGGCCCCCGAGTCCTGTCGTCATGGTGAACTGGGTGTGCTCGAACAACCCTCCTGCTTTTGCATCTGCCGCCGCCGCTACTGGTGACGCTGTTGCTGCTGCTTCGCTTGGTCCCCAAGAACAAAGCACTGTCTCCCGCGACGTTTCGGCGGTGTCAGGTTCTGATAGAAGTATCCGATGACGGTGGCGATGTTGGTGATAAGCACTACTTTGACATATTTCTTCTGATACCGGTGCAATTGTCTGCTAAAGTGGGGGAGCGTGTTCCGGGACAAAATGTTTTTTGTCCACATGGCGATGTCTCTGGTTTGCGAGCATCTCTTTGCAGGCCTCTGTGTTGGGGACACTGTCACCATGGCAATGCTCACCGTAATCAGACAATACCGATTCATCTTTCCCCGCCCACGTCGAATGTTGAGCACCCTGACGTCGTCGCCCGCCATCACTTTGTGCATTGTTGAGCTCCGTCGTGGTGCTTGTACCCGCTGCCAAGTCGGTCCTTGCCTTGATCCAATCGCTGGCGTTGGGAACACCTCCCGCCTTCAAGTACCGGGATGATGGAGTTGTTGATATCTCGTCGTCTCCTCCTTCCTTGGGACTCGCAACAATAGCTTGGACCAGAGTGTCCATCGTGTCATCGCCTCCTGACCCCAACGCCCGCCCGCGACGGCGATGCCGACAGTTACGTTGCACCTTTCGGGGAGACGCAACACCGCGATCATCAGGTACGCAGCCACTACTGTCCTGCACGTTCTCGATGCCGTGGTCGGCCACTTCGTTGCCATGAACGGCCCTTGCCCTAAGGCCGCCGGCATCGAACGGCATATACCCCCGAGGAACGCCCTCGCGCCACGCCTCATCCCCACGAGCGCCGGAGATCCAGAAGTCAACCTCCTCTTGGAGATGGTAAGCATGCGCCTGGCACCGGAGCAGGTAGACATTCGCATGCTAGAACGGTGAGGGAAGAACCAGAAAGAACCCTCCACGGGGTCATCCACACGGGAAACGGACGTCAAACGCGAACTGACGACCATCTAGAGAGCAGGCTGAATGACGTTCTTGACTGAAAAGAAACGCCTGCGTTCGTAACAGTAGCTGAACGTGAAAGGAAAATGTTCACAATGGTTCGATTTTCAATGTGCTACTATCCCTCACACACGCAGCGCACGGCAGAGCTCTGTACCAGCTTCAGCTCGTGTGACACGACGCATTGCAGACTTACCCAAAGGATGTTATGTTCGAGAACTTGTTGAGTCCTGTCCCCTTCAAAGCGAATCCACAGAAGTATCATATGTCAATGCTTTGGAATAACTGAGCGTGAGTGACAGCTACCCCACTACGCGGACGACGAAGAACTACGGCGAGTGCTGCAGACTGCACGATGCCCCGATACGCGCTAGCAGCAACAAACATATCCGATGCAATAGATGTCATGGATGAACGTCAGCGAGCCAATCGCGTCACCTTACCCGAGACTGGCTTGCCGTTGCGTGCGGGCAATCGCTTGCCTTCACGCGATCTCGAAGGCGCCGCACGCACTTGCCGCCGCTGCTACCTCCGCCAATGTCGCCATCACTGTAGCTGCGGATTGTGTCACAATCATTGTCTCGGAACATTTCAAGGGACACACGGGCATCTGTGTTTGGTTCCCCTTCCACCCGAATCCACTCTCCTGGCCTTCCAGGTTCACAGAAGGCCGGCTGTGAGGGTATGGCGCCTGTACCCCATGCTGAAACCAATTTCTTTGGGTCCGTGTGCCCGGGTGGATTGTTTCCTGGCCGCAGTCGGGTCGGTTTCGAAAATGTGGCGACATTTGGCGCCGCCGCCGGCAGATGCGGCGGGGGCAGGGGACCATGCAGGTGGTGCATAGACAGCTTCGTCGGGGTTTGATTGACACACGAACCGGTGCTTATCTGCTCAGTACCGGCCTGCACCGTTTCTTGGCCCCGAGGCGATAGTGCCGAATGGTGCTCTTCGCGATGTCGGTCGGTTCCCTCCCGACAGCGCCACGGAAGGCTTCCCTGCATCTTCTGGTCCCTATCCTCATATTCGCGCGCTGTCGACGAGTCGCTAACTACATCACGGTCTGTAGTTCCCTGCCTACCAGCCCCAAGGTCTCCTTTCCGGCCTCCTCCGTACTCCTCCGTATGCGTGCGTTCCTCTCCCTGGTGTTCTGGTTCCCCGTCCCCCGTCGACGCCTCCTTCAATTGTTCTTTGCCCCGTCCTCCGCTTTGCTGTTGCCATGAATCGGCGACTGCACCGTGGAAGTCAATGCCGAGAACAGAAGATGTAGACTTTACCATGGGTCGGCTAGAGTCTTGTCTCCCGCTACTTCTTTCGGCCTGTCCGTTGATCCTCCGCGGTTGACATTTGGGAGAAGCCACGGTGGCGGCAGCAATCCTGGGTTCTTGGCTCCGCCCCTCGTCTCGCGACCCGTGCCATACAACGTCTTCCGTACCGCCAAATACTCCTGCATTGGACCCTTCGTTGCACTTACGGTCGGGCGAAAAGGGTTTCTTGAGCCTCACGCCGCTCTTTTCCTCTTTCCGCGGTGCCGATTCTCGCCCGCACTGCCCCGCCTGGCTGATGCAACCCAGGCCGGCAGGACTTCGACCCGTCTCCGCTGAACCTCCCATGGGTATTTGTGGCTGTTGAGCTGAGCCCGCCGCCACGGAGTCTGCGGCCCACCATAGCTCGGTGTCGGTGTCACCGTCTGGCGACCGTGTCCGGCGAGGGGACGGCGGTTGATGGCGAGCGCGCCCCCGCGGCGTCGCGAGGCTCTCGTACGCGGTGCGAACTACGGAAAACAGAGCGCTTGAGTCCATCCCCGTCTTGTCTACGGCGATGGTGCCGGTGGCGGTGCGGAAGGATTACAAGGTGGGCATGGAAAGGATGTCGTCGCCGGAGACGTACACAAAAAGAAAATCCTGCCCAGCACAAGTTGGGTACCAAACTACAGTGATCGGTGATCGGTTGATTTCGACTCGTCGAAAGGACGAGTCCCGTGTCTCACTTTGGATACCACACGCTACTATCGCGACTGTCAATGATACACCCCATCAACAAGTTTGAGTCTTCAGTGTGTCAGCAATCCCTACGTGGCGCAGCGAATAGTTCACCCTGGTCATTATCGTAATGAACAGCTAAGGTCGTGAATCCGGGGGGCAAGTGTAGGAGACGCAAATACCACCAACCAGGATGGAACTGCAGTGCCAGCCGCCGATAGTTGTTTTTTACGAGGGCGTCCGATATCCTGGCGATCCGGCTGGTACGATCAGAACTAGCGCGCCTGGGGAGAGGCAACTGTAACGCCGCGAAATGGTTGCTCTTCAAGAAACGCAGGTGCGTTCGGAGTTCTCGTTCCACCTGAAACACACCACCGTGAGAGGAATACTCTTGACGGATTCTGTGGTGAACCACGCACGGGACACACCGGCAGTCAGCATGGACAAAAGAATTACTGTAGGAACAGCATTCTCTTGGACACAGATAGTCGTGGAAACAAGGTCTACACACGGGGATGGAACAACCAAATGGCTTCATGTCCACAAACAAGTGGGTGACACCAGCCTTGGAGGAGCAGTGTGAGCCCTCACCTTAGACAAAAGCTTGTCAACGACGCATGTCGCTTTGGCGCTTGCCCTATTCGACGGTGACATAGCCTGGGCCTCCTCCATCCCTTGCGTCGCATTCTGTGTTTGGCCCTTGCCTCCGGGTTCGAAAGTTTGTAACTTGCTCTTCTCGTTGTGCAGAATAATTCTATGCGACGACGAGGAGGGAACGGTGTCGTTGGGGGGGGGGGACGAGAAACAGTTACCAAGAGGGCGTACCGGCAATTATCCGCGCCGATCGTGAAGGCCACCGAAAAAACCCTATCGCTCGATCGTGCTGCTGAAAAAATCCGAGCAGTCGACAAGGCAACCGCTCGTAGGTGGGGAGCAATCCTCGACCGTTCCGCGTCGCGTGCCACGATCGCCGTGCCAGGATTGGGACGCGGTTCTCGTTCGTACCTCAGTCTTAGGAAACCCAGCGTGGCCGCGTGCAAAAGCCCACCCGCGGAGAGACGGGTTGCTTGTGTCCAGGCCTCCCCAATCGTTCGAGTGGTGTCGATCGTCTGTGACTTCATCGGTTCTGTGTGCCCGGTGTTCTGTCTGGACTGGTCGGTCTCTAAGACAAATAGTGAGGATCAAGGGAACCATCGTCAAGCGCGACAGCAGCAGCAGAACGAACAATCGACGCCAGTGTCACGCAGCTGTAGACGCCGACAAAGAACATAGAAATGCCACCTGAAATCGTCACGAACGTAAGTGTTTGTGTACATGGTGTTTGGTTCTTAAGTAAATATTTCCAGGGACACAAGCACAATGCGACCGGCTGGCGGCAAGACGAGGACCGTCACAAGAGAAGTCTTCGCATTCATTTCCCCTGCATTTGTTGGTGCACCTGTGTGGTACGTATGTCCGACTACAGAGGGAGGCCTTCGTCATGAGCACTGCCAGAAGAATGGTGCCAATACCCTCAACAAAATAGACGAGGTCTCCGGGAAAAAACAGGACCCCTAGTTGGACCCAACCGGCGGGGACAGTATTGGCTGCCGTCAGTAGCGCTATCGATACCCCTCATTAGTGCCGGTTCAGGCGATACACACACACCTCCAAACCCTTGCATGTTTTCCGGGAGTTGCCATTTTTTGATAGTCTCGTTGTGGTCAGTCCCTGCCTCAGTCATAGCTACCGACAGCGGTTCTGTTTGGTCTTCATCGAGATACTGGTCCGTCGGTCTTATCTGAACTTCACTCGCTACGTTTGGAGGAGGGCCAACGGAGGCGTGAGTGTGGTACCTACCGATCGTTTGCTTGGCTGTCTGCGTTGGGAATTGTGATAGAATCTCTCAACATGGTAGGTGCATCGGGTACCGTGTGGTGTGAGTGTTCGTGTCGTTGTACGGGAGTACTTTCGGGGATGACGGAAAACATTTCGTTGCATCTGCTAATAAATCCGGAGAAGATTGAAAAATTTCTGCTGTGAAATTTTCTGAACACGCTCGCGAAGGGAACCATACTCTTTTGCGAACAACACAACATCCCCTCGGCTGGGCCGGTCGCCTCCATGCGGATTCCCGAAGCACAATCATCATCTGCATGCGGTGTCCACCCACCTCTCCCTGCGTCGGACACAAACACTGTGTACATGAGACTATGCAAGAAACGGGGGAGGGGGATTAATCAACCACTTAACACGGGGGGGATGGCAGTATCTCCTCAGACAAATCCAAGAAACGCCTGCACATCTCAGTTTTCCAAAATCAAACTTCCGTACGAAACTACAATCGCAAATCAACCGTCCGCGGCGGTCGCTTGTGTCCAATGCTAGATTCTGAGATTGTAGCCCTTGTGATACACTACAGCGGTCCGCGATTTTTCCAAACGATCCTTCTATCGTCGAGTTACGTGAACGACAAGCAGGATTTTTGAAGCTGTTGTGCGGTCCGAGTTGAAAAGCCTCAAGCACCTTTCTTTGCAAATGGCTAGACCTACATATACATGACCCCAGACATTGAAATCGACTATAGCGACGAGCAGGACATGTGAAGGAAGAGCCACGCTGAAGTTCGCGGCCCCACACACTCACATAGGCGATCTTGGCCGCTGCTGTGTGCCTGAAGTTTCAAATCTGACCACCCAGCAGCTTGGATTCTGCTTGTAGCTCACCGATCTCGATGACAGAAGGATCGTTTGGAGAATCGCAAGACCGCTAGACTGTTGTGTATCATAAGGGCTACAATCTCAGACACTATTTATCATTGTTCACAAGCGACTGCTGCGGACGGTAAATTTGTGATGGTAGCTTTGTACTGGAGTTTGATTTTGGAAAACTGAGATATGCAGGCGTTTCCAGCCGTTTCCTGGATTTTGGAAGAGGAGGTAGTGCGATCCCCCCCCGCGTCTTTAAGGAGTCTAGTGGGGTTGACGGCCGAGTCAAGAATGTGTGCATAGTCAGTAACACAATAACCCCCAAACTAACACACACCACAAGCAATCGTCATGGAACGACGGAACGAAAATATGCGGATGGCCCCGAGAACCCGCCCTTGCCGGATGTTTGCTGTGCACTCTCCTCGCGAATGACTCGACACTTCCATCGCATACCTTTCTCGTGAGCGAGTTGGAGCTGGAACCAGTTCGAACGCTCATAGCGCACACAGACAAAGGTCAATGTAGGCACGGGGAATCTCCCCTAGCCCCCGAAAGCTCGCCTTAGGCTTGCGTTTCTCGGAGGTGCCAAACCTGATTGGTGAGGGATGGATGGATGGATGTGAAAATGTGGAAACAATCCGATCCGACAGTAATAGAGTTCTTGTTTTGGCCGATATTCAAGTGTTCTAAATAAGAAAACAGGAGTTACTGCGGCCCCGAACCATAGTGAGTGCCGGTACTCGTTGCCGGGCACATCAAAAGGCACGTGTGTGCTCCTGCTGCTGCTATAGGTAGATCGAACCGAAATCGCCACGGTTAGCGCCCGTGCTCAAGAATCTCAGCCTCGGCCAGGGTACTGTAGCTCACAAATGGTGCACGTTCAAGGGTTTGCGCGAAAACATTTTCAAGACACATAGATAGGCCTACTAATCGAAAATCGGGATCCGTGGGGGGGTAGGGGGGGAGTAGGGGGGGGGTACTCATACTCATAGTCGTGCATGCCGTGGTCGTTAGACCATTGACCTCGCATCCCTGTAAAGCCGGGACGGAGCACGCCGGGTTCTCACCGGACCAGGCTCTCACATCACCAAGCGCGAAGCGCCGTGAGGTGTTCGGCGAGTCGCATGAAGGGTGCGCTGCATCCTGATGAGGGTNCGTGGTGCGATCATCCCCCTTGCACGGAGTGAGGGTTCTCTACCCCGCAAAACATGATCTACTCGACCACCATTGTGGCTACCGCACAAAAACTAAAACAGAGGCAACAATACGAAAACGGATAACAGGTTGCCGAGTTCACGAAGTGAATTGGCTTGTTTTACAACGTC